CGTGTCGTGTCTTGTCGTATCTTATCTGATCATATCTTATCTTATCTTATCTTGATGTTTCGTGTCGTGTCTTGTCGTATCTTATCTGATCATATCTTATCTTATCTTGATGTTTCGTGTCGTGTCTTGTCGTATCTTATCTGATCATATCTTATCTTATCTCATCTTGATGTGTCATGTCGTGTCTTGTCGTATCTTATCTGATCATATCTTATCTTATCTCATCTTGATGTGTCATGTCGTGTCTTGTCGTATCTTATCTGATCATATCTTATCTTATCTCATCTTGATGTGTCGTGTCGTGTCTTGTCGTATCTTATTTGATCATATCTATCTCATCTCATCTTGATGTGTCGTGTCGTGTCGTATCTTATCTGATCATATCTTATCTTATCTCATCTCATCGTATCTTATTTTATCTGATCTTTATCTTATCCCCACCCTCTCTCACCGCCAGCTGTACCTAGAGCTGTTGCTGTGGTTGCTGCTGCTGTCGCCGGGGTCTCGTGGTGATGAAGGACAGCCACTCCATCAGCTGTTTGCGTCTCTGAGCAGACTGGAGGAGAAGGTGGCACGGGCAGAGGAGAGGCTGGTGGAGATATCTCGTCATAGCATGTTGCAACAGTTTGGTGTGGAGGAGAGGTGAGGAAGGGGTGAGGGGAGGGGAGGGGGGAAGGGAGGGGGGTGAGAGGGGTGTAGATATGTGTGTGTGAGGGGGGGGGGGATAGATGTCTCATCATAGCATGCTGCAGCAGTTTTTTGTGGGGAGAGGTGAAGGGGGGGGAGTAGATGTTGGGTGGGGGGGTAATGTAGGGAGAGTAGATGTGCTGTGGGAGGGGGGTAGCTGGTAGATATTTTGTCATAGTATGTTTCAACATTTTGATATAGAGGAACCCCTTCTAATAGATATTGTTGTAAAAGGTCAGATAATATTATAGAGGGATTATTCAGCTTTAAATTGGTATGCTGCTGCCAATATTGCTTTACCCATTTTTGGCCTTTTTTTTTGAAAATTCAATTTCATTAAGTAATATCAAAGATAGTAAATAACAAGATGGGCCACTCAGCCAAAAAAGTGTCGGCAGGAAGTTCGCTCTTTGCTTCAGATGGCGCTGCAGTCTGTTTTGAAGCTCTCTTTCGTTTTTCCAGAAGAAGAATATGAATAGCACCTCCTTGCGTACGCAGATCGACTGCTGTTCATCAGC